TACTAGGACCACTGCCAGAACCAATTCATGATCAGTTAGGGTCCAATCAGGAGAAAGAAACTCCACAGTAATTTGAATGGAGAAAGTTTAATGAACTATTAACTAAAACTTTGGAGTATTGAGGAATTGCTAGTTATAATTAAAGACAACTCTAAAAACACTGGAATAACATGTATACATACATCACCTCAAAAATGTTGATTAAACATTACAATACAAAGTGGTAAAAACAAATATGTGAATATTTGACTAAAGGACTTGCATAAAAAGGGAATCCTAGAAATCAATACGAAAAAGACGAAATCAAATAGGCAACATATTTGAGCAGAATCTTCATTAAAGAACGTTTATCAGTGGTCATCAGGGCTGGAAAAGTTGTTTAACATGAGTCATTATGAAATTGTAAGTTAAAACTGCCACGAGAAACCACTACTGAACCATTAGAATGAAACTGAAGAAAAAGCATCACAATACAAGATTGGGCTCAGTTTAACTCTGACGGCTTCTCAGACTTCAGTATCTCCTGATAAAAATCATCTGAGGTCTTCACTTTTTCACCCTCCACTGATCTTTCCCCAGATCTCTTGCTACCACTCTCTTTGACTAACTACACGATCATTATTAATAGCTCTCTGTGATTTGCATTTCACAACTTTTTTTCTGAGGTATCATTAATTCGTCATGCACAACAGTCCAGCAATCACTGGAATAATAATAATCCCTTCCCCACAAGAAGATGAGATGATGGTGTTCAGATGCCCCCTTTGCACACATGCTCTGCCTGAGAACACTGTAGCCACTATCCCATACCAAAACAGAATTTAATAGTTGCTCTCAGTTTGAGATAGATGTCAGATTCATAAAGGAATTGAATACATCTTCGGATATTGAGTAAGAAATATCGACTAGATAAACAGTATTGTATGATTTGAACACGATCAGAGTATACAGGCAGGAGAGATGTTCTCTGTGGGAACCAAAGGCAGAGATAAACCCTTGTCCTCCTACTTCAGGGCGGCCTAAACGTCCCTGCTTGTCTTCCAAGTCATGACCCTGACTGAACATACAGAGTTACAAAATCCACTAATGCTTCTGACGACATGCATTTGAATAGCAAGAAAATGTTTATTACATTCCAGCTAAGAGTAGATGCATTTTGTGTCTGAAAGAGAGTACGTCCATTTGGATTTGTAGCCTTTATGAATAACTGAAATAATATTTTTAGCTTCTGGGGGCATTCTGAGCTTCAGGGAGTCTAAAATGACGTCTCTACACACTTAAGTGATCAGTGGCGGACAGCCTTCCCAGAAACCTACAAACTACCCCTTTACGAAGAAATAAGCACCTCCCTTTTCCCTGACGGGTATAGTCGTCATTTCCCAGCGCCACTAGCTGTGCCGCCGGATCTTTATTGGCACAGGTCAACGGCTGAAACAGCCATTCGCCTGTGCAGCTGAAGAAACTACATTACCCAGTCGGCAATGCGCAAAACGCAAGTTGAGCCAATGAGAATCCACGACAGGGGAATGTCAGTGCAGGTCAGTCTGGGCGAGACTTCCGGCGTCGTCTTCGTGGCGGTCATTTTGGCTTCTCTGGAGGCTGTTCACTCAGCAAGAGACTCCTGAGCGCTGGTTCGCGACCGAGAAGGCGCTAAAGATGTTGTCCCCGCTGCACAGAGGCTGGTCTGAGGCTTAACAGCGGCGCACCCCGGGTGACCCCCCTCCAGGCCGGGATTGGCAGCTCCGCCCCCAGAATCCGATGGCGGCGGCCGCGCGGAGGGAGCCGGCTCAGGTCAGTGCTCGTGCTCCGCGCTCTCCCCGCCCTCAATCCAGCCCAGCCCTAGAGTCTCGAGTGCGGGCGCTGCTCACCGGCCTGCAGCCCAGGCCCCGGTGTCCGGGACGGGGAGGTGCTCGTGGGGCCTGTTTCTGAGATCCGGTGTGACGGAGCGTGGGAGAGGGTCCCAGGCGGAGAGCCCGGCGGGGGAATGGCGGGGAGGGCCGGGAAACTCGGGCTCTGTTTTGTGTCCACAGGCGACACGGAATGTGAAGCGAAGTTGTGTCTGAGGAGTTTTACGTTTATTTTCAGGACGCTGGAAGGCACGGAGGGTTGTGAACAAAAGAGGGCCACTGCTTGAGAAAGGGTTCTGACGGTCTTCCAGAAGCTGCGCAGGGGAAACACAGACCACAGGAGAGATGCTAACAGTTAGGCACACGAAGGTTGAGTCCTGTAGAGGATTGCATGACTGGAAGAGTGCACTGAGGACTGAGGCCAGAGGGACTGCAGTCCTCTCGAGGTCACCTGGCTCCTGCGCTGGGCAGTGGTACTTAGCAGCCTGAGCCCATGGGATCCTGGCCGTGGTTGCCAGACTCTCAGACTACCTCCCTCCTTCCCTAGGTTCCCCAGAACTGCAGAATGGCTTAGGGATACTGGTTGTACCCCTTATTTCAGGGCCTCACTAGTCCTCACCCACCCCACCCATATGGTCTTTGGGGTAATGCTGTCCTGGGATTCTTCTGCCACTCTTCCAGGCCTGGGGACCTGAACAGGCACCAAGCCCAGTGTCCTAAGTCCAAGCTGAGGGTTCGTTGGAGCAGTTGTTGTTTTTGGCAGTCAGTGGAATGAGGTGTGGAAGGTCTTCCCAGTCATAGGTACCAGAAGGTGCAAAGACTTGGAGGGGAGGCTGAACTGGTTCAGGGACCTGAGGGTATCCTACTTTCTCATGGGAACTGGGAGCAGTAGGGTAGGAGTGAGGTTTGGAACAACATTGTGAGAAGTTGGGTCTGTCTCTTGGAAGTGATGGGAGCAGTAGGAGATATGGAGCAGTGAAGTCAGGTGATCTGACCCTGGTCTCATCAGGCTCCCTGTGGCTGCAGTGTGGAGAGCACTTAGGGTGTGAAGTAAGCAGTAGGAAGATCAGAGAGGAGGCTACCTCAATAGTTGGGGTAAGTGTGATGGTAGCTGGACCAGGGTGGTGGCCATGGGCGTGAGATACTTGGTTGGATTTTATGTCAGTGTCTTGGGTATGGCTGCCTGGAATTTCTAGTTTTGAGATTAAGAGAAAGAGAGATGGGAGTCAGGGATAACTGGAAGGTTTGTTTTTAGCAGCTGGAAGGGTGGAAGCTCCCTCAACTGAAATAGGGAAATCCAATTAAGAGTAGCTTTTTTCATTGGGGATATTAGAAGTTTTATTTATGGTTTCTTAAGTGTATGAGATATTTCAGAGAACAGTTTTTGGGCATCTGGAACCTGAGGAGGAGTTGAGGAGGGAGGCTTCTCCAAAACATAGTGGAGAGAGTGTGGACCGCACAGGAGCTGTAGGTCACTTTAATGTGGGGGATCCTGGTCAGGATGATAATGGTGATAGTAGGCCAGGAATAAGAAGGGGAGCCCACGTGGGCCCCTGGTTATGGAAGGTGACTGTCACAACACAGGTTAAGAAGAGAGTGGTCATGGAGAGGATGGGGGAAAGCCTATGGTTTGACATGTATCAAGTCCTTCAAAGAATGAGTGGACATGAGATAAATGTGGAGGCTTAGGAGGATTTCAAAAAAGATGACACAGAGGCTGGAGCTGGTGCTTATTCACTGCTCTACAGAATCACTAGGATCCTGTGACTGTTGGTGGGGCCTGGGTGTTCCAGTCAGGCTGGTGGATTAGCTTAGGGGCACAAGTGGTCATCCGTGAGACTCCCTGGGCATGAGGTAGAGGGACACTGGGGCTGGACCTTGAATGAGGATTAGGTGGAGACAGGAAAGCTGTGACTGGTGAGGGGGACATCAAGTGGAGGAGGGCCATGGATATCTGAAATCTGATGTGGTTTTCAGTAGGTGAGTTGAAGCAAGGAACAGTCAGGGAGAGAGGCCTTCATAGCAGGACTCAAGGCTGCCTCTGTCAGTGGGGACCATGAGAGTCTGGGGAAGTACTTGATCCTCTTTGACCTTACCAAGCATTCTCTGGACTGTGTATGCTAAGTAATGAGTGGAGACATCAAGGAGATGACTGTGGTGAAGGGCAGGAGGTGTCTGTGGCTGTGGGAGTGCAGTTGTGAGAGAGAGGTGTGGTAGAAAGAGTGATGTGCACATGGAGAGGGAGTGTGAACTCATGGTCCCAGGCTCCCGGTATTGCCATAACAGTGAAGGGTGAGCCCGTGTTTGGTGGGGTGTGGGAGAAATGAAGTATCTGGGGACCCCCAGTGGAGTTGCCTGAAAAGAGGGGATTTTTGGGGTTCTACAGGCCAGGCCTAGAACTTAAATGCCATCTCTCTGTCTCCCTCCCTGTTGTTGAGGGCTGACACAGTAATTAATAGGACCATGGTGAGACAGCGGGCATCAGTACCACCTGGGGTTGGAAATCTTCCCTGATGTGGGGAAGGAATGAGGGTAGGCAGGGGATGGATTAGGGAGGTGGTGATATTAGAGTCCTAGGAAAGAAGGTGATCAGAAATGAACTGTCCCCATCATGGCAGGGTTGTGTGACCTTTGAAGTTGCGCCTGTGGGAATGCAGCTGTGGGAGAGAAGTGCTGTTCAAACAATGATGTGTACTTAAAGATAATGTGAACTGATGGCCCCAGGGCCCTCGAATTGGGTTCCTAAGGATACAGGGTGATGTTGCATTTTTGGTGTCTTGGAGGAATGGTCTGAGAGACCTCACAGGTATTGCCTAAGAAGACCAGTGTCACATCACTGACACCCATCCTATAGTCAGCTTCTTTCCCCAATCTGTGTTTATAACACCCATCACATTGACAACAGGCAGTGTGGCCTACATGCCAGGCCCAGAGCTCAGGTAGCATCAATCTGCCTGTTGTTGGGGTGAGAGGACACAGTATCAACAGGAATATAAGGAGAGAGTGGCTCCAATGGCACTGAGGCCTGGTATCTCCTCTGTGGTGGGGAGTGCCGTGAGCAGAGGATGGATGTGGAGGGTGGGGGATATGATGAACTGGGAATCCTAGGAAAGAAGGTGATCGTGGAATGAACTGTCCGCCTTATGACAGGGCATGAACTTTGAGGATGTGGCCATCGACTTCTCCCAGGAGGAGTGGGGGCTCCTCACTGAAGCTCAGAGACTCCTATTCTGCGATGTGATGCTGGAGAACTTTGCTCTTGTAGCGTCTCTGGGTAAGACCTTCACATACTTCCTAGTGTTCTGAGGTGATGTCCTGCCTTTTCCTTTTTCCCCAGTGTTAGCACTGTCTTTCCAGCATCTGAACTGTGGGCTCTGCTGCTTTCTATCACTTTCTTGCCATATATGCTGTGAGTGCCAGCACTGAGCTGTGTGTCATGCCCTGAACAATGGACTCCCCAAGCAGCCCTATGACTGTGGCCTCAAACAGTGCAGGGAAGGGTCTGGGAGTCAGGAGTCTTACAGTCAGCTTAATGGATCCCTCTTTGCTTGCCTTCTCCGTGGCATGGTGACTATGTCTAGATTTATGGTCTCCAGTTTTGCCACCTTCCTCTAGCTACATCTTCTTTGTGACTGCCTGTGCCAGGTCATGGTCATTAGTCCCATGAACCATGGACTGTTCTTTGGAGATCCCTCTTCAATTGTTTTTTCATAATATTTTCTTTCCTGCATACCATTGTATGGTGAGTGGCTCTGGGCCAGTGCTGGGCACTCATCTACACTGTCTCTCATTAAGACTGGCATCCTTCATGTTCTGAGTATTTGCACAATAGAGGGTGCAAGGAGAACCCTGGTTGTTTCACAGGGTAGACATGGCAAGATGGTCTCAGAGAAAGCCTGGTGGTGAGTGGCACCTGGGGGAGGACATGACAAGAAAGCTGTGTTCAGATCATACCAGGAACCTGCCCTGTGTCCAATAGTGTTTTGATGCAAGTCCCACTGGCCACACATCATTTCTACTTTTTCTCCCTGTACTTCACACTTTGCTGACCTCTCATTTCATCTGTGACTTTTGGCTCCTGGCTGCCTACACCTTTGTGGCCTCCCTGTGTCACCTGTTCCTCTGCAGCATTCTCCAACATTGACCTGCACATGTGTCACAAGGCGTGCACATATCTTTAAATAGTTTTTGAATACCATCTACTCAGTTCGAAGTGAATTTTATTGTGACAGGACTCATCCAGTCTTCCACACGGCATACACTTGTCACCAACAGACCAGGTCCTACTTAAGGCTATTGGCAGACTAGTGAGTTGGAGATGCTACTCCCTCCTCCATGTGGTACACCCCATTTTTGTGTCCTTTGTCTGGTGAGATCTCCTCTATTCTGTGATCTTCAGAGGCCCAGTACTGCCAAGCAGCCCCTTCTTCAACCTGTCCCCAGGTCCCTTGTTCTCAGAACAGTCCCGTTGACCCAGCTTCTGTCTGACACACCTTTTTAATGGGGCTTCCTCCTCTCACTGAAGTCAACATGCATTTCTTCAACATTTTTGTGCTTTCAGGTTGTTGGCATGGAAAAGAAGATGAGGAGGCTCTTTCTGAGCAGAATGTATCTGTAGAAGGAGAGTTACAGGTCAAAGCTTATACAACTGGTCCATCCACCCAGGACACCCGCTCCTGTGAGATGTGTATCCTAGTCTTGAAAGATATTTTGCACCAAGCTGAGCACCAGACAATATACCCTTTGCAGAAACTATACTTGGTTGGCACATGTGTGAGATGTCTCTGTTTCAGTGCAAATCGTTACCAGCAACAGAGGCATGACGGTGGAGAGAAGCCCTGGAAAAGAGATGTCAACAGGGCTTCATTTGTGATGAGTTGCAGCTTCTATCTGTCCAGGGAGCCTTTCACCTGTAGGGAGGTTGGCAAGGACCCTCTGGCCATGTCAGGCCTGCTCCAACACCAGGCCATTCCCTACAGTGAGATGCCACACAGTGGCAGTGAGAGTAGGCAGGCCCTTCCCAGTGGAAAAAGTCATTACAAGTGGGGTGAATGTGAAAAAGCTGCCGGCCACAACCACACACTTGTTCAACATCAGAGTGTCTGCTCTGGAGAAGAGCTTTATGAGTGTGACACATGTGGGAAAGCCTTCAGCTGCAATTACAGATTTGTTCACCACCAGCAAATTCATACTGGACAAAGGCCATATGACTATGGTGAACGTGGGAAGTTGTTGAGTGAAATCTCTGGCCTCATCAAACACCAGAGAATTCACACTAGAGAAAGGACTTATGAATGCAGTGAACGTGGAAAAGTCGTTATCCACAAATCTAAACTCATTCACCACAAGAGACGGCACACTGCAGGAAAGCATTATGAATGTGACGAATGTGGGAAATCCTTTAGCTACAAATCTAACCTCATTGAACACTGGAGAGTACACACTGGAGAAAGACCTTATGAGTGCAGTGAATGTGGCAAGTCATTTAGACAAAGCTCTAGCCTTTTGCGACACCAGAGAGTTCATACTGGAGAAAGGCCTTATGAGTGCAGCGACTGTGGGAAATCTTTTAGACAAATATTTAACCTCATTCGACATGGGAAAGTTCACACTGGAGAAATGCCTTATGAGTGTAGTGATTGTGGGAAATCGTTTAGCTGCAAATCTGAACTCATTCAACACCAGAGAATCCACAGTTGCAAAAGGCCTCATAAGTGCAGTGAATGTGGGAAGTCATTTAGACAGTTCTCTAGCCTCATTCGACACCAGAGTGTTCATACTGGAGAAAGGCCATATGAGTGCAGTGTTTGTGCGAAATCTTTTAGCCGCAAATTTATCCTGATTGAACATCAGAGAGTTCACACTGGGGAAAGACCTTTTGACTGTAGTGAATGTGGAAAGTCCTTTACCCGCAGACCTGACCTCATTCAACACCAGAGAATTCATACTGGTACAAGACCTTATGAGTGCGGTGAATGTGGGAAGTCCTTTAGACAACGCTCTGGCCTTATTCAACACCGCAGAGTTCATTCTGGAGAAAGGCCTTATGAGTGTAGGGAATGTGGGAAATCCTTTAGCTACAAATCTAAGCTCACTGAACACTGGAGAGTTCACACTAGAGAAAGACCTTATGAGTGCAGTGAATGTGGAAAGTCGTTTAGACAAAGCTCTAGCCTTTTTCGACACCAGAGAGTTCACACTGGAGAACGGCCTTATGAGTGCAGCGACTGTGGGAAATCCTTTGGACAAATATTTAACCTCATACGACATGGTAGAGTTCACACTGGAGAAATGCCTTATGAGTGTAGTGATTGTGGGAAATCGTTTAGCTGCAAATCTGAACTCATTCAACACCAGAGAATCCACAGTGGCGAAAGGCCGTATAAGTGCAGTGAATGTGGGAAGTCATTTAGACAGTTGTCTAACCTCATTCGACACCGGAGTGTTCATACTGGAGAAAGGCCATATGAGTGCAGTGTTTGTGCGAAATCTTTTAGCCGCAAATATATCTTCATTCAGCATCAGAGAGTTCACACTGGGGAAAGACCTTTTGACTGTAGTGAATGTGGAAAGTCTTTTACCCACAAATCTGACCTCATTCAGCACCAGAGAATTCATACTGGTACAAGACCTTATGAGTGCGGTGAATGTGGGAAGTCTTTTAGACAACGCTCTGGCCTTATTCAACACCGCAGAGTTCATTCTGGAGAAAAGCCTTATGAGTGTAGGGAATGTGGGAAATCCTTTAGCCGAAGTGCTAGCCTTATTCAACACCAGAAAGTTCACACTGGAGAAAGACCTTATGAGTGTAGTGAATGTGGCAAATCCTTTAGCCGCAAATCTCACCTCCTTAGACATCGGAGAGTTCACACTGGAGAAAAGCTTTAAACGTGCTGGGAATGTTTTCTTTCTTCACTCAGTCTGTTAACACTGAAGGGGAGATTGTGCGAGAGACATTTTCCTGAATGTAAACCTCTTTTATCTGAACACAGACTACGCAAGATTTCTCATAAGTTTCAGGTACCTGGGAGGCTTTAAGGACATGCAATGCACTGTTTAACCTACCCAGGGCTATTTCCAGACTTACATGACTGCAATTTCTGTGGGTAAAGCCATTTCATCTCTACCACCTGGCATGTCTGCACAGTGTACGTCAGTCATCACCCCCGTGTTCTCAGAGAAGCTGACCTGGGTTGTCCCATTTGCTTAAGGAAATTATGAATAATAGCCCTTAGCAGGATGCTCATTCCTTTCTCTCTGGCTTTAGGGAGTGGACATGACCCTGTTTTGGTCCAGAGGACCCACCTTCAGCTTGCTAACAAGGACTACCTTTTTCAGGGACCTGGTGGTTCTTACATCATGCTTGTGATGAATTCTTCCACGTTCTAATTCATCAACCTAGAAACTGCTGACATTGGCCTGGTTTATGTTCTTTTAGTAAAGGACTTTTTGTTTTTCCGCCTTTAATTTCATGGTTCTGTTCACTGTGGGTGATTTGAAAGCAGACCTGTGATATGTCAGCATGTAGGCGTGATCAGATTTTGTGGAGATACTAAACTTTCTGTCTTTCAGAAGGGACAGTATGATGGTAGAAATAGCTCTTTGTCCAATATTGTTCTAATTTGCATTGCTGCTCAAGGACTCAAAAGACTGCAGGTCTTTGTGGTCCTAATTTGCGGTCTGGTGCCACAATTTTTTGGGAGGCCAGAGGTCACCCTGAAGGGGAGACCTTTGTTATTTCAACCCCCTGTGCTTCTGTGAACAACAGGAATTTTATTCCCTTGTTCACAGTGTCTATCACATAGTTCCCAGCATTTTGAGGAGACCTCTTCCCCCGTTCCTGCAAAGGAACCATGTGCCATGATATACAAAATTTCATCAGCTAGTGTCATTTGTTGTAAGATTGTAGGGTCGGGGGAACCATAATTGGGACAGAAACACTGGATTAATAGGGAGTGGAGAAGAGTGCAGTAAATTAGACAGAATGTGCCTCTTCTAAAAGTTCATAAATATTCCAGTACTGTTGGTTGTGTAACCAATGTGTGAAGAAGTTCTCAGGATCTTCCTAACTATTTCCTGTAGCAGAGTTCATTGACAGAGAAAATCATCTGAAGTTTGATGGATTAGTGTCTCTGGGCTGTTCACCTCTGGGCCATTGCTCTACAGGCAGGAAAATGGATAAAGAGGAAGGTGATCTAGTTTTCCAAGGATGTGTCTTTTGTGACTGAGCCAGCGTTCCTCTTGATTTGGGTGGCAGCTGTCTTCATTGTTTGCTGATATTTGCTGCCACTGAGGCAAGGTTTCCCCTCGCAGGGTGTGAGGAGAGTGATGGTGGGGTCCATGTAGTGTTGCCCAACTTTGTTATAAGAAAAGAAAAACATCTAGGCTTTCATTTGGAACTACTTTTAAAAACTTGGTTAAGGTGTAATTTATATAATTGAACAGCAAAATGCACTTATCTAATGTGTACAATTTGGTAAGCTTTGACATAGGTATAAAAATGGAAAAGCATCATCATATTCATGAAAATAAACTTATCTGTCACCCACACATTTACTTTGTGCTTTTATAATCTCTTTCTGCCTTCCCCAGCCCTCCAGGTCATCATTGATTTACTTTCTTTTACAATAGATTAGTTCGTTTTCCTGTGATTTAACATAGGCATCATAAAGTGTATACTCTTTTTTTTTTTTTACTAGTGTCCTTCATACTGCATAATTACTTTGAGATTCAACAATGATGCTTATGAGAGTAGTTAATTCTTTTATTGTTGAGTAGTATTCTGTTCTATGGATAACCAGTTTGTTTATCCATTCATCTGTTTATGCACATTTGGGTTATTTCCAGGTTTGCAGTATTGCAAATAAAGCTGCTATGAATATTTGCATTGAATTCTTCATGTGGATATGTTTTATTTCTCTTGTGTTAATAAGTCAGATTTTTACAGTGTTGGGGAATTTTTAACTTTGTTTAAAAAGTGTTTTATTGAGGTCATATTGGCTTATAACATTGTATAAATTTCAGATATATGTTATTGTATTTCAGCTTCTGTATAGACTGAATTGTCTTTACCACCAATAGTCTAGTTTTTATCTGACACCATACATACGTGCCCCTTTTCCCCTCTCCCCACCCCCTTCCCCTCTGGTAGTGACCGATCTGTTTTCCTTATCTATGTGTTTATCTTCCACATATGAGTGAAATTGTATAGTATTTGTCTTTCTCTCTCTGACTTATTTTGCTTAGCATAATACTCTTAAGGGTATTGTACCATCCATGTTGTTGGAAATGGCATGATTTTCTCCTTTTTTTCTGGCTGAGCAGTATTTCATTGTGTGTATATGTGTATATACCACGTCTTTATCCATTCATCTGGTGATGGGCACTTGGGTTGATTCCAAGCCTTGGCTATTGTGAATAATGCTGCCATGAACATAGGGGTGCATATATCTTTTTGAATTAGTGTTTTCATGTCCTTTGGATAAATACCTGGAAGTAGAATCATTGGATCATATGGTATTTCTATTTTTAAATTTTTGAGAAATCTCCATACTGTTTTCCATTGTGGCTGCACCAGTTGGCATTCCTGTCAGCAGTGTATGAGTGTTCCCCTTTTTTCTGCATCCTCTCCAATACTTGTTATTTCTTGACTTGTTAATATATCCATTCTGAAAAGTGTGAGGTGATATCTCATTGTAGTTTTGAGTTGCATTTCCCTAAAAATTAATGAATGTCTTCTCATGTGCCTGTTTGCGAAAGAGAAATGTCTGTTTTATCCTCTGCCCATTTTTTTTTTGTAATTTTTTTTGTGTGTGTTAGGAAGATCAGCCCTGAGCTAACATCTACTGCCAATCCTCCTCTTTTTTGCTGAGGAAGATTGGCCCTGGGCTAACATCTGTGCCCATCTTTCTCTACTTTATATGGGACACCGCCACAGCATGGCTTGACAAGAGGTGTATTGGTGTGCACCCGGGATCCAAACCTGCAAACCCTTGGGCCGCTGAAGCGGAGCGTGCACACTTAACTGCTGTGCAACCAGGCCGGCCCCTATCCTCTGCCCATTTTTTGATCAAATTTTTTATTTTTTTATTGAGTTGTATGAGTTCTTTGTATATTTTGGAAATTCACTCCTTGTCAGATATATGATTTGCAAATATTTTCTCCCAGTCTGTGGATTGTCTCTTCATTTTGTTGATGGTTTCCTTTGCCATTAGAAGCTTTTTAGTCTGATGTAGTCCCATTTGTTTATTTTTTCTCTTGTTTCCATTGCCTGAGGAGACATGGTATTCAAAAAGATACTGCTAAGACCAATGTCAAAGAGTATACTGCCTATGTTTTCTTCTAGGAGTTTTATGGTTTCAGGTCTTACATTCAAGTCTTTAATCCATTTTGAGTTACTTTTTGTGTATGGTGTAAGATAATGGTGTACTTTCATTCTTTTGCATATGGCTCTCCAGTTTTCCCAGCACCATTTATTGAGGAGACTTTCCTTTCTCCATTGTATATTCCTGACTCCTTTGTCAAAGATTAGCTTGGTTTTATTTCTGGGCTCTCAGTTCTTTTCCATTGATCTGTGTGTCTGTTTTTGTTCATGCTATTTTGGTTACTATAGCTTTGTAGTATATTTTGAATTCAGTTAGTTAAAATTAGTTGGAATACCTCCAAATTTGTTCTTTTTTCTCCAGATTGCTTTGGCTATTCGGGGTCTTTTGCTGTACAAATAAATATTAGAATTCTTTGTTCTATTTCTGTGAAAAATGTCATTGGGATTCCTATTGGGATTGTACTGAATCTGTAGATTGCTTTAGGTAATATGGACATTTCAACTATGTTTATCCTTCCAATTCATGAGCATGGAGTATGTTTCCATTTCTTTATGTCCTTTTTGATTTCTTTCAATAAGGTCTAACAGTTTTCAGTGTATAGGTTTTTCACCTCCTTGGTCAAATTTATTCCTAGCTATTTTGTTCTTTTTGTTTGCTATTGTAAATGAGATTGTACTCTTGATTTCTCTTTCTGCTAATTTGCTATTAGTGTGCAGAAATGCAAGTGATTGTAGGTTGATTTTGTACCCTGCAACTTTACCGTATTTGTTCATTATTTCTCATAGTCTTTTGGTGGATTCTTTAGAGTTTTCTGTATATAGTATCATGTCATCCACAAATAGTGACAGTTTTACTTCTTCATTTGCAATTTGGATGCCTTTTCTTTCTCTCTCTCTCTCCCCCCTCTCTCTCTCTCTCCTTTCTTTCTCTTTTTTTTTGCCTAATTGCTCTGGCTAAAACCTCCAATACTATGTTGAATAATAGTGTCAAGAGTGGGCATCCTTGTCTTGTTCCTCTCCTCAGAGGAATAACTTTCAGGCTTTCACCGTTGAGTATGATCTTTGCTGTGGGTTTGTCAAATATGGCCTTTATTATGTTGAGGTACTTTCTTTCTATACTCATTTTATTGAGTTTTTTAATCATAAATGGATGCTGTATCTTGTCAAATGCTTTCTCTGCATCTATTGAGGTGATCACGTGATTTTTCTTCATTTTGTTAGTATGGTGTATCACAGTGATTGATTTCTGGATATTGAACCAACTCTGCATCTCTGGAATAAATCCCACTTGATCATGGTGTATGATCATTTTAATATATTGTTGTGTTCAATTTGCTAATATTTTGTTGAGGATTTTTGCATCTATGTTCATCATGATAATGGCCCGGTAATTTTCCTTTTTTTTCTTTTCCTTGTCTGGTTTTGGTATTAGGGTAATGTTGGCCTCATGAAATGAGTTAGAAAGTGTCCTGTCCTCTTCAATTTTTTGTGAGTTTGAGTAGGGGGCCGGCCCCGTGGCTTAGCAGTTAAGTGCGTGCGCTCCGCTACTGGCGGCCTGGGCATG